GTGTTTCGTTGTGAAAGCGAAACTACTTTGTTTGGTCTTCCAAAAGAGGACAATATCCGCTTCGTCATGCCTAGAGCTGATCCGTGCTGGTCGCTGAGGGAATACATCAACTTTCACCATGGACAAAGCAGAGTCCAGCCCGCCTCAGCTCACTCTATCCCGGGCTCAGCGCACGCTAAGCTGGGGCTTCCCCTCACGCTAGGCCGGACACGGCATCAACAGTATGTATGTGGCATGTGGCATAACATTTCCGTCTCACGCTTGAGGTATTCGGCCAATCACAACGCACTGGATAGCTGGCCAATCACAGCACACCTCACTTTTTCAGACCGATGAGCTTTGTAAAAATCGACGCGTTTCAAAAAGGCGGGGCATAGAGGAGAAACAATAATGTACAGTATGTGGAAAATAATGTGTTTTTTGAACTTTAAACCACATAAACACATTTCATTACAGCAAATACACAAAATAATGTTCTTTTTAGCAGCATCATATGACCCCTTTAAGACCGTAAATAATCATATAAACTTGTGAAAAATGGGCATCCAATGACCCCTTTAAAAACATTGACTGGTGTAAAAACATTTATGTTATTTTATTTTTCATTTTTGCCACAGGGCCAGTAAAAATCTGAACCGGGTCAGACTAAAAAAAAAAAAATGCATGTATGCATGATTTCATACAGTCAATATGAGTGAGTGCTTTTTGAATTGCAGATATAACACTTTCTTATTTAGACATGACAGCCAGTCGTGTCTCTGTTTGGGATCAAAGGTTTTCAGTTCATGGTTTTATGTGTGAAAATGCATCACATCATTGGAGTGATGATATTATGAAAAAGAAGTTGATTCTTGTCGTATCTCATTATGTGTCAACCCAGAGGAAACATTGCTGCTCAGAAGTTGCTCTTTCGTGTAACTCAAAGGATTAAATGTGGTTCCTAGCAAGCCTGTTATTGAAGTTTCAACTGTTTCAGAAATTTCTTCTTCAGAGAAATGAGACAATTGTTGACATACAGTAAAAGTACATAGCAATATAATGAACAATCTACTGTAGGCACACTAGAAAACTGTGCCTCTATGTACATTTTTCAGAACTCCTAAAACATACCTATACATACAGTTCACTGCAGTTTCCATCTGAAATGAACATGGAAGTAAAACACCAACAACTTTTGTTCCTTTCCAAACAAATTATGATTACGGGGCAGATTATCAATTAATAGAGACTTCCTTTTGTGTGGTTCCTTGCACAAAACTGTTATGACCTTAAAACACTTTACCATAGTGCATGATTTGAAAATAATATATTTTGACATTTGCATTACATAACCAGCTCTATATGTGTGGCTTCTCTGATGTAGTAAAGTTGCTCTGTAGCACACCTGGTACAGCAATGCACTAGTGATGTGGTACAAGTCTGTTAAACATGAGTCATGATAAAAGTGCTCAAAGACATGTAGAAAAAAGGTAAAATGGCACTGTTGCTTCAGCAAATGCATTTTTTAAATCTCTCATATGCTGTCGTTTAGGTTTAGAATCCCATTTAGTGTGGGTGGTACATTATTTTCAAAAATAATAACGCATTACACTTTTAGCATCACTCACTGGATATTTAATTTCCCAACAGCCGCATTACGTGCAACAACTAATATAATAAACATTGCCAGATTCAAGTTCATCCATTTCGGATAAAACTGAACGTTCTTTTTGGGGCCACTCGAAACATGCAAGAAGCAACATATCATTCTGTATAGGATTATTATAGTTAACTAAAACTAAAACCATAATTTTATGTTAACGGTAACTAAAATAAAATAAACATTAACTGAAATAAAATAAAATAAAATTGGCATGTTTTTTTCTTTATTTAGTTTAACTTGATATACTAAAATAACTAAAACTAAAATATTAATAAAACAAAATAATAATAAATATGTACACAAAATGACAAACACACAACAAAATAACTGAACTGAAAAAAAAGAAATAAAAAATGCATATTAAAAAATAAATAAAAAGTAGGCATATTAAAAACTAAACTAAACAAATATATAACACAATTTAAAATTAAAACAAAAAATATATAAAAATAAAAAATAATTCAAAATATTTATTAAAACGATAGTATTTCAGTGATACTAAAATAACACCTGTTATAGAATTGTTACCACATTTTTCCAGCCTGGGTTGAAAATGAATGTAAATAGAATCAAAAGACCATTTGGTCTGATAGAATTTGAATTCATATTGAAATCTCTCACTGTTATCTTGGCAAATCTGAGCACAGTTGGAGACATTATCGAGATCTCTTCTGAATCTCTAAAGGAGACGCGTGCAATGGTCTATTTCTCTGGAGGTAAATCTAAGAAGCAGGAGAACTATGTAACAAAAAAACACTAAGCTAATTTGCGATCGATTTATTCTTACTGCTGTCAAGGAGAAGCAATTGAGATGTTAACGATATCTCATTCGGGATTTTCCTATCCTGTGGACGGTCTGATAGAATTTGAATTCATATTGAAATCTCTCACTGTTATCTTGGCAAATCTGAGCACAGTTGGAGACATTATCGAGATCTCTTCTGAATCTCTAAAGGAGACGCGTGCAATGGTCTATTTCTCTGGAGGTAAATCTAAGAAGCAGGAGAACTGTGTAACTAAAAAACACTAAGCTAATTTGCAATCGATTTATTCTTACTGCTGTCAAGGAGAAGCAATTGAGATGTTAATGATATCTCATTCGGGATTTTCCTATCCTGTGGACATGTACATGAAATAAGCAAAAAAAAAAAAAAAACAGAAGTCACTTCTCAGCATGATGAACTGTAATGCTTTCTGCTCTTCATGGAAAAATGCCGGGGTGGAACGGGAGGCCCTGCCGGAAGCCGCTTGACCCCTGCTCTGCGTGAGCGGTGGTCCCAGTGAGAGTCAGCACATGAGCATATGGAAACGGGGTGAGACGGATCGGGCTGGTCTGTGGTCCTGAGCCAAGAGAGATGCACTGACAAATAGAAGTGATCTTAAGAGCTCGGTGACGCTGCTCTAATCTAGTTCTCTCACAGATGGCATGCGCTGGTTCGCCGTCACAGGGCACACAATGCTTTCTGAGTCTCCCACATACTATGAACAGACAGCTCGAGAAGATAATGGATATTTGCAATTCTGTGTCGTGCTATTGCGAAAGTGGGAAAGAGAAATCACAAATTACATCTCTTTAAAGGGGTCATATGATGCGATTTCAAGTTTTCCTTTCTCTTTGGAGTGTTACAAGCTGATTGTGCATACATAAGATCCCTGAAGTTGCAAAGACTAAAGTCTCAAAACCAAAGAGATATTCTTTATCAAAGTTAAAATCTGCCACGCCCCACTAAAACGGCTCATTCTAACACGCCCCCACATATCTACCTCACTATGTGGAAATATTAGCATAATGCGGTGTCTGTCACGCGACTCTGTTCCCCTTTCGGGCTCTGTCTTTACATCTATTTTGAAAGATGAAGCTCGCGATTATGGTAAGGGGCGTTACATTTCCGACGAGTGCTTTCGGTGTTCGGCCTATCACAATGCACTGGGTCAGCTGGTCAATCAGAGCAGACTGCGCTTGTCGGAAGGAGGGACTTTGTAGAAAACGAAGCGTTTGAGAGAGGCGGGGCATAGAGGACCTACAATAATGTACAGTATTTGAAAAATAATGAGTTTTTTGAACATTAAAGCATGTCAACATATTCTGTTACACCAAATACACAAAATAATGATCTTTAAAAAAGCATCATATGACCCCTTTAATATCGCAATTTTTTTTCCAAGACAGAAATGGGATTAAATGGAGGTTGAATAGAGATTCTGAAGTCTTTTCAGACTAGAAAAGATCCCAGTAATCAAATGTGTCTTAAGGTTTAAGAGATCTATCCATCCACCTACCTATTATACTATACATCCATCCATCCACCAACCTATTAACCATCCAGCCATCCATCTACCAGCTTAATTAACCACCTACTTATCTACCTTTCTATCCATTCACCAATCATCCATCTATCCATCCAGCAGCCTACCTACCCATCTACTTATCTACCTACCTATCCATCCATCAACCAATACATCAACAGTACCATCCCTCCATCCAACAACCTACCTACCCACCTACTTGTCCACCTTCCTATCCATTCCTATCCACTTACCTGTCCATCCATCAACCCATCCATCTACAGTACCATCCATCCATCCAACAACCTAGCTACCCACCTACTTGTCTACCTTCCAATAAATTCACATATTTATCGATCCATCCATCTATCCATCCATCCAACAACCTACTTACCCACCTAATTATCTACTTTCCTACCTACCAATCCATCCATCCATCCATCCATCCATCCACCCACCCATTCACCTATCTATTATCCATCCATCCATCCAACAACCTACCTACCCACCTACTTATCTACCTTTCTACCTACCTACCTACCCATCCATCCATCATATTCCAATTAAATACCTGCATTTTAATATAGGTGGCAAACAGTATACATAATTGCTCTTTGAGTTGCAGTTTTAAATAATTGCATTTTAATTCTGCTAAGTTCATATACAGTAATTGTTATTTTTAACTAGAAACATTTGTAAAGCAAAATGCTTGAAATTTGAAGTTTTGTAGACTTTACAGATTGTGAGAACGAAACACAATTGTAATATATAAATTTACTTTAAACTTTTATATTATAACTTTTAGTTTTGGTACTTTTTACTTTCTGTACTACAAAATATATTATTGAAATGTTTTAATAGTAAAAATGTTTAGTTTTAGTTAACAACAGCACTGCCTGTTAGGTCTGCAAGTCAGAAGTCTTAATATGATTTCAGACATTTATTGTCAAATTCTTCCAAGATCCTTTTTTTTTTTTTTAAGCATTCATTTAAACATTTGTTTGGGTATGTACATGACAGTGACACATGGATTGATGTCGTTGTTTGGAAATGTTTAAAAAGATTTATTACAGCAACAGTATGGGTGACTCAAAGCACAGATTCAGAACATAATAGCCTGTATTTCATGTTAATTTCAGTTATGCCTGGCGGACCACTGAATGGAGCGAATGTCGTGTTGATGCACTGCTCAGCCAGCAGGACCGGCGGCGTGGGAACCAGACGGGTTTGTGTGGTGGAGGTGTGCAGAGCAGAGAAGTGTACTGCTTCCAGGACTATGCAGAACTTCACAGCTACATCTATAACAACAAAGACAAACAAGGTACAGGTATCTGTTCAACAGTTTATAGTTAACAGAAGTATGGCATTTTTATCCACAGACATTCAATTCTAGACACACTTTTTTTGTTGTTGTTGTTGAGCAAGTCACCCGAACAAAACCATGATTGGCTGATAGTACAACAAATATGTGTTCAGTCCCAAACCCTTCACTATAGTGACTATCCTGAGCTGTGAGTCCTCCAAATCTTTATAAGTTTCATATGATTCCATAAGAGAATGCGTATAGGTTTCATATGATGACAAAAGCAAATCTTTTTAAGTTCCATTTGGTTCCATAAGAGAATCTTTAAAAAAGTGTAATTAATATATATTTCCTTTATTAGATGTATTTGATGCTTTAAGCAAATCTTTGAATCATATGATTTCATAACAGAATCTTTATAACAGAGTTTCATATGATGCCGTATGTGAATCTTAATAAGTTTCATACAATTCCATAAGTGAATTTTATAAGTTCCAGTTGATTCTATAAGAGAATCTTTATGTTTCAGATAATGCCATAATCAAATCTTTATAAGTTCCATTTGATTCCATAAACAAATCTTTATCATTTTCATTTGATACCATTTGATACCACAGAATCTTTGTTACTTAAGATGCAATAATTAAATCTTTATATGTCTCATAGGACTCCATAAGAGAATCTTTTAGTTTAATATAATGTCATTGAAGAGTCATTGAGTTCCATATGATGCTGATATTGAAAACAGTTCTTTATGAGAAAAAGAAACATCGAATCAATTATTGATTTATTGCAAAACATCTAGTATTATAACATAACATTTTGTGATTTACGTTACTTTGCAAAAAAAAAAATTCTCAGAACAATGTAAATCCTAGAATACATGGATCTCTCCCTCATGCTTTTCCTCTTTCCCTGCTTTTTCTGTCCACCACCCATGTGCATGTGTGTGTGTGTAAATCTCTTACTCTACTGTATATATTGCATCAACATTTATTTGCATGCTTCACACACAAACACACACACCATCACTCGATTAATGGCCCACCCATCTTCATGGAAAATACTTTTTTTTTTTATCTCACTCCCTCCTGCTCGCTCTTTTGATGCTCAGAACTGTATGGTGAGCACTTTGAAACTTATCGTAACGCACATGTCTCCGTACATTAGAGCAGATGAGCGCTGACTGCATGAAAAGCTCCGGTTAAAGAAGTGCTATTAGAACAGACCACTGGTGGAGCTGCATATGCTGGGAAATCTGTGTCCTTATCAACGCGGTGCAGGAGACGCCTCGCTTCACTGGGGGGTAATCTGCTCCGCTGACAGCAGATACATGAACGCAGACAGTGCAGAAAGTTAAAGGGAAAATGTGCTGGAGCGTTAGTCAACTGATGGAGTCGTGATGTTCTCACCCTGGGAGGATGTTGTCAGCTTCAAGATTCTTTGATGTGATGAAACCTTCATCAAATCTATCTGGAAGTGATGCTCATTTACATTTCCTTCTAAGAACACAACACTGCACTCACAGCACAAACAGAACGATATTTCCCACAGGTGGCTTCACTGTCTTAAAATCAAGTGTTTCCAAAAGGATTTTAAATCCTGATGATATAGGAGAAATTCCAATTTGATTTCATAAAGGAATCTTTATGAAAATTTCATACGATGCCATAAGCAAATCTTAATGTTCCATTGGTTCCAAAATAATCTTCATAGGATTCCTATGATGCTATAAGTGAATCTTTATAATTTCCATTTGATTCCATTAATGGATCTTTAAAATTTCCATTTGATTATATGAGAATATTTATAATTTCCATTTGATTGCATAAAAGACTCTTTATAAGTTTCATGTGATGCCATAAGCAAATCTATATAATTTCCATTTGATTCCATAAGATAATCTTTTTTTTTTCATGTGAAGCCAAAAGTGAATCTTTATAATTTCCATTAGATTCAATAAGATAATCTTTGTTTCAGCCATAAGTGAATCTTTATAAGTTCAATTTGAATCCATAATAAAAATCATTATGTGTTCAATTTGAGTTCCATTTTATTACTGTATATAAAATAATTGTTATATGTCTTATACCAAGTCATAAGCGATAATTTATAATTTCCATTAGATTCCATAGAGAATCTTTGTAAGTTCCACATGATTCTATAATCTACATATCTTTATACTGTAAATTTCATATGACTCCATAATTAAATCTTTATGAGTTCCATTTGATTTCATAAGAGACTCTTTCATATGATGCCTTAAGCATTTATTTTTTATTTTTTTCATTTTCATTTGAGTCCGTAGGAGAATCTTTATAAGTTTCATACGACGCCATAAGGGAATCTTTAAAAGTTCAAATTGATTTAATAGAATCTTTGTAAGTTCCATATGATACCATAAGTGAATCTTCACAAGTTCCATTTGATTCCATAAGATAATCATTTCAAAGTCCATGTGATGCTGCAAGATATTGTTTTATTTAATATAATGCCATAGGAGTATCCTTGAGTTCCATATGATGCAGAAAATCTAAATGATTCTTAATGAGAAGAGAGTTCTTTGCTGAAGTGCTGCAAAAATCCATTGAAGATGCTTGATTTTGAGAGTGTAGGAGGAATCCTGCAGCTTTTGACTGGCTGAGATCTGGGCACAAGTAAAAGCTAACCAGCTTATACCTCACATTATCACATTACTGTCTGAATGAAAGTCAACGGAGGCGATGAACGCTGAATAAACTGCCATGACATTCGATTGGACAGAGCTATATTTGGAGTCTACTATGGAAAAAATAAATGTTTTTTAGGGGAACCAAATGTGATGGATGTGATTCATTTATGGCATTACAAAGCAATGGGTTTGGCTGGTTATCATGAGCACTTTGGCCCTGCTGGTCAATGACATAACCAGAGGTTGCATTAACTGAACATTTTTCTGTCACTTACCAAATTGTAAAAAACATTGACAGATAATTCAAAATGCTTTCTGTTGTTTTGACAGATATAAAAAGAAGTTGTCTGTTCTATTGCATTTGGTGAAGAAAACTTGAGAAAATAAAATATGAAAGTAGACTGAGAGGTGTGAGTAAAGATTTAAATAGAGAAACAAGAGTTTTTCATATTTTACTGACAGGTAAGAGTAGAGCATGCTGGAAAATTTACAACCCAGTCCATCAGAATGAGAGAAAATTATTTTATTGTTTTTAAAATTGTGATTAAATGGATGTTATTTTATTGCATTTTCTGAAGGACTCTTAAAAGGTTAAATATATATATTTTACCTTGCCTACTGCTTTTGATGTCACAGCTCAGGATACTTAAAGCTAACCAGCTTATGCCTTAAAGCTGTAATATTTTGGAAATAGTCACAGTATAGAGCTCATAGTGGTAGTATTGGTATTTGTCTCTTGAGTGATGTTTATTAGCAGTAGTTTGTGTGTTTTGTAGAAGGTCAGTCTCCAAACAGCCAGATGCCTAGTGTCCCTCCCCTCCTGTCTATCAGCTATGAGATCTCAGGTAAGATTTTTAACTCCCTAAAAAGGAATATTTTGGGTATTTTTCAACTGAATGTAAACACACCAGTATTGCTTTGAAAGTAAAACCAGCACTTTTATTTTATTTTATTATTTTATTTTATTTTTAAATGTATTATTTATTTTTACATTTATTATTTATTTTAATTTGTATATTTATTGTGTATTTTATTTAAGTTAATTTAATAATTGTAATTATATTTAATTGTTATATTAATTTTAATTCTATATTTTTAATTACATTTATTTTATCCTCTTTCCTTTCCTTTTTGTATGTGACATAATGGTCTTTGTTTGATCAGATCTCTTTGCTTAAAGCATGTTTACATCTTTTGTTTGCTTAGTCTGTTTACTCTCTGTATTTTTGTAAGTGTTTGTGTCCATGGAGAGCTGATTACAAGGGTACATACTGATGCAACACTCTGTGCTTAGTCAACACTATCCTTTGGGCACCAGACAACTGACAGAGAATGATTGACAATGACAGTCATTCTGACAGCTCCTTACTGTACACTCTTCTTCAAAAGAAATAAAAAAATGGTTTGTATTTGCTTCATTTGGGCCTTTTAAACTAGCCCCTTTTGCCTATGATTTCATGGGCTCTATAACACAGAGCGAAGCTTAGCCTGCAGTTCTTTTGCTAATCGTGTATATTTTGATAAGCACTACACTGTTCAAAAGTTTGAGGTCAGTATTTATTTTTAAAGAAATGAATACTTTTATTCAGCAAGGTAGCAGTAAATTGATCAAACGTGACCGCAAAAGACATTTATGAAGTTACAAAAAATTTTCATTTAAAAAAAATGCTTTTCTTTAAAACGTTCTATTAACAAAAATATTAAGCAGCAATTTTTTTACATTGACAATAATAATTTTTTTCTTGAGCACCAAAGCAGCATGCTATAATGATTTCTGATTTCGTTTTTAAATTCTGCTGAAAAATTCAGCTCTGCAATTACAGGAATAAACTACATTTTAAAATATATTCAAATAGAAAGCAGT